GCGGGAAAGTGCTGCTCTCAACCGACACCGCCCACGCGAGACGCGACGGCGAAGCCGACGCAAGATGGCGGGCGCACAGCCTTCTGCGCACGCGCGCCGGCCCCGCCCGCGGGAGCGGAAGTCGCGTGACCCCGGAAGTAGCCGTCCGGGCGGCGGGCGGCCGACGACGTTCGTCATTTGCTGCGGGAGGGAGCGCTAGCGCGGCGGTCGAGCCTCCGGTGAGTGGCCGGCGGCGCGCGGCGCGGCGAGGGGAGGGGCTGCCTTTGTGCCGCCGCCTGGCCCGCGCAGGGTCTCGCGGGCGGCGGCCATGCGGCGGCGGCGGCCTCCCGGCGGGCGGGGCGGGCCGGGGGCGCTGCGCAGGCCCCGCCTGTGCGGGCGCCTCTCTTTGGGCCGCGGCGCGGAGGCTGGGGTGGGGGCGCCCCCAGGGCTGCACGCCGGGCCTCCGGGGTGGGCGCCTGCCGCCTGCTCCCGACGCCAGGCCGCGCCCCGCCCCGCCCCGCCCGGATTGCAGGCCCTGCGGAAGCGCGGGCCGCGCCCAGGGATGCTATCGCCTGCGGCCACGTTCGGGCGGCGTCCGGCGGCGTGCTTGCGGGAAGCGGTGGCGTGGATGGGCTCACGGGCCACCCCCGCCTCGCGAGTCCCGACGGCCCTATATTCCCGCGTTTAGGCCCCTCCCTGGGCCCGAGGAGGGAGGCGCTGCGCCCCGACCCCTCCGTACCCTCTCGGAGATTGCCGAGTGGGATTCCGGGTGTTCTTAGAGCCCCTGGGGGCTGATCGGTGCCCAGGCCGAAGGAGGCTCGTCTGCGACAGCGCTGTCGCTGCTTGGTTGGCACCGCCCTAGGCGGCTGCTCCACTTGTCCGAGGGTCCTGAGAAGACTGATCCTGCAGCAGTCCCAAGTTGTAGCCAGGAATGGTGACGACCTCGTGCCTCTTTGGGGCCTGTGAGGTCCGGAGGTCCCGGACATCCCAGCTGTAGCACAGCACATGTTTGCCTGCACGTGGCTCCGACAGGGAGCTTCCCTCTTCAGGGCTCTCAGCCCCAGGGCTCAGTAGGGATCCCTTGGGTGAGGGCCTGGAACTTCGAGGCACAGCAGACAGTAGGGGTTTAGTGTTGGCCCTCCAGTTGGGTCTGGGGTCGGTGCCTCTGCTAGGGAAGGAAAGATGTGCCTTTATCTCCCCGAGGAGCAGGCTGCGTTCCCATTTAGTCTCCTACTTGGGGTGGGGTCCTTTCAGAATGCCCCCCTGAGCCGGAGGGGCAGGTGGCTGGTGAGTCTGAGCGAGCGGCCCCTGCTATTCAGACTCACCAGCCACCCCTTGTCCTGCTTCCTGCACTCTGAGGCCTGGTACTGTCCAGGCTGTCATAATCCTGCCTACCCACAGGTGTCCCATACCCAAGCTAGAGGTGAGCATGGCAGAACAGGAACCCACAGCCGAGCAGCTGGCCCAGATTGCAGCTGAGAATGAGGAAGACGAACACTCAGTGAACTACAAACCCCCGGCCCAGAAGAGCATCCAGGAGATCCAGGAGCTGGACAAGGATGATGAGAGCCTGCGCAAGTACAAGGAAGCCCTGCTGGGCCGCGTGGCTGTCTCTGCTGGTGAGTAGCCCGTTGGAGTAGGGACAGAGTGGGGGCCCATCAGAGCAGCAGCTCTCCTGCAAGGACACCTGTCACTCTGCTTAAGCCTCTGCTCCACTCCACTGCCTGCCTATCTGCTGAAGGAGAAAGACCTAGTGGGTGGGAGTGGGGCTCCAACTTGCTGTCTTTCCCCAGACCCCAACGTCCCCAACGTCATCGTGACTCGCCTGACCCTGGTGTGTAGCACTGCGCCAGGCCCCCTGGAGCTGGACCTGACAGGTGAGAGGGGGAAGGGGACACTGAGGTCCCTGGGTGGGGCTGGCTGGCACCCTGCTGCTGCCCCTAAAAATAATTTCCTGTAGCACAGGGGCCCTCTGGTGGGGCATGCAGGAAGTGCAGCGAGGTGCTACTGGAGGTTTTGCTTTGTGTTGGGGGGAGGAGATGGGAGCGGGTGGGAGTGAGGGAGCTGGACAGTCAGCTGAGCCTCTTCCCCGACACAGGTGATCTGGAGAGTTTCAAGAAGCAGTCCTTTGTGCTGAAGGAGGGTGTGGAATATCGGATAAAAATTTCCTTCAGGGTAAGGCCAGGACTTGGGGAGGCACTGGGGGAATATGGCTGGAGAACCTGGCTGACCTCGCCCTGGGTTCCTACAGGTGAACAGAGAGATCGTGTCAGGCATGAAGTACATCCAGCACACATACAGGAAAGGTGTCAAGAGTGAGTAAGGGGCCAGGTGTGGTGGTGCTCAGCTGTAATCTTGGTAACTCAGGAGGCAGGAGCAGGAGGATCACAAGTTTGAGGCCAGCCTCAGAAACTTAGCAAGACCCTGCCTCAGAATATTTTAAAAAGATCTGGGGGTGTAGCTCAGTGCCTCTGGGATCAATCCCCAAGACTTGGCGGGGCATGTAAGAGCGGGCAGCTGTGGTCTTCCCCAGAGGGCCATTGGCACTGGTGACCGTACCCTTTCTTGTGTTCTGCAGTTGACAAAACTGACTACATGGTGGGGAGCTATGGACCCAGGGCAGAGGAGTATGAGTTCCTGACGCCCATGGAGGAAGCACCCAAGGGCATGCTGGCTCGGGGCAGTTACAACATCAAGTCCCGCTTTACAGATGACGACAAGACTGACCATCTGTCGTGGGAGTGGAATCTCACCATTAAAAAGGAGTGGAAGGACTGAGCCCCTGCCAGGAGGCAGGCAGGGCAGACGGACAGACGGACGTGTCCCACCCCACTCCTCTCCCCATCCCAAACCAAAGTGCTGACAGGGCCCCTTCCCTGCCACCATCCCACCTGGCCCACAGGAAGCTCCTCAACCCTCCCTCTCCCACCCTCCCGCCTGCAGGCCCTTGTGGTCTCTAGTGTCATGTTGCTGCTTCTGCCTGTGCAGGGGTGGGGGGGCATCCAGCCCAGGCCACTGCCCCCTCTGTGTCTTGCCAGGTTCTTTCTGCCTGTCCTACCCCAGATTCTGGCTTTTAGGGAGTGGAGCACTGTCCAGGTGCTCAGCCCACTTTGTCTCTGCCCAGTTGAACTGGGGTACATAGTGCAAGCCCCTGCCAGCTGGCCTCTGCCCCACCACTCCCTGGCCACTTCATCCATTGCTGTCAGTCACCGTCTAACCATGATGCCTTAACATGTGGAACGTGTATTGGGGGGCCTTCACTAACTCTTAACTCCCCCTGTCTGCATGAGCATGTGGTCTCCCCTGTCCCTGCCCTGTTTGTGATCTTGGTGACCCAGGGAGGCCTGGGGTGTGCTGCTGCCCAGCCTGCCAGGGCCTAGGAAGCCCCTTCCCCTCTCTGGACCAGGGTTTGAGGTGATGCCAGCAGTTTGGGGAGGGCCAAATTGCCAAACTCCATGCCTCCAGCCCCATCTGGGAGGCAGGTATGCTCACACCTCTGCCTTCTCTGACCCAGGAGGCACTGCTCAGAGCCCTTGAGGGATAAAGCCAGCGGCAGAGCCTTACTTGTCCCACCTGGGCCCTGTGGCCTGGAACCTTGTGCCTGGCCTGTCAGTATTTATTGCCTCCATTTGTGCCGTCCTCTGGGCTGGCTTGCCTGCTGCCTCTGCCCCGGCTCTCAGTGCCACCATCCTGGGCAGGCCCTCCCTGGACCCAGCCAGGACAAAAGCGGGACCAAGCACACACAACTGTTGGGAGCTGTCTCCTGTGCCTCCCCTCCCTGTCCCCGTGTGGTGTCTGCCAGGCCCAGGCTTCGACAGGCAGAGGAGCCTCCCCTGCTTCTCTTCCGACCGGGAAATAAACACCCTTGAAGGAGACTGGATTTGCTGCTTGGGGTTGCCTGGGGTTGCGGAAATTTTGTGATCCTAGCAGGGAGGTAAAGCAGAGGCCCCTCGGGTCACAATCCCTTGTTAGGGGTTGAGGTCCACCACTCCCAACCCTGTGGGGACACAGCTAACTCTAGTGAGAAACACAGAATTCCCCTTCTATCTATCATATCACCAAGCGCCATAAATCCAGAACCTCTAAGAAAGCCGAGTGGTGGGTAGCCCACCATGCATTTTGCTAACATAGTGGTAGCTTCCCCTCCATTATCCACTGAGGCCCCATGTGTTGCTCACATGGCACAGCCCAGGCATCTCAGGAAATGTTCAGTTCTGCCGAAGGGGAACACAAGAACCCGAGAGAGACCCTGTGTGGGCCTGCCAGATGTTGGTGAGAGGCTGAGGCTGGTGCAGGATGTCAGTTCCCCCATTGTAGTCAGGGTCCTCTGAGATGGAAGGGCCAATGACCTACTTGGGATTGAGGGGACCATCACACAGCAGGAGAGCTGCTGGGATACCCTGGAGGTTAACAGGCTGCAGATTGGGAGCTTCCCACCTGCAGTGATCTCATTCCATGCACCTGTCCTGGACAGATAGGGTTAGACCAACCACCAGTGGCAGGAATCACTCCAGAAACTCCCCTTGGCCTGATGCCAGCTTTGAAACCTGTCCTCTGTGTCTGTGCTGCTCAAGAGAGGCGGATTCTTAGCTTAGGCAGCTGCTGCCACAAAGCCATCTGACCCTGCCTCCGTGGACCCATATAAGTGTTGGTGCTGAGCAGTCAGGGATCCTTGGCAGGAGCTTGTTGCCAGTTAGTCCAGGAGATGCCCACTGAGACCCACCTCAGGCTGCTAGCCACCTTGGTCATCCTTGCTAGGTTCATGTGAGAGCCAGAACTGACCTGGAGCTGGCCCTCAGCAGGATGGCCTACCAACAGCAGGGAACTGTAGGAGTTGGCCAGCCAGACCAGGAAAGACCTTACCCAGTCTCAGAATGGGTTCTGGTCCAGCTGAATTGACAGGCAGGGTGAGGCAGTGTCCTGAGGGTTCACCCAGGCTGACCATCTCAGCTCAGAAGGAATGGGCGCCTAGGCAGCAGTCTTGGGCACAGGGGCTCACACCTCTCCAGCTCCTTAAAACGTTCCATCTCATTGCCAGCAGTTGTTTATTGGGCAAGGACTTCTGAGGCTCACATCAGGCCAAGAGGCTTGATCTTTTTGCTCTGGGGTTTTCCAAGCTTGTTAGACATGTGAACTCAGACCCTGAGTGCCAAGTTGTACAGGCACATGGCCAACAGCCAAGACTTTGCTCGAGCTCCTAGGGGAGGATAACAAAGTTGCACTTGCAGAAGGTGCATGACGTGTCTCAAGTCCCAAGTCTAACCTGATCCTCCTGGTCCCACCCTGACCTGTTGTACAGCTTGATGCTGCTCCAAGGCTGGCCTCCCAGGTCCACAACCCATGCCCTCTTCTCACCTCCCTTTATCCACAGGCCCCAGAAATCCCCAAGCTTCCACCTCCTCAGCATCCACAGACAGGCCCTTCTTCTGTGAAGAGACCATAACTGGTGCCAGCTGAGGTCAGGATCTAGATGTGACCAAGCAATCGCCAGGTACTGATTTACCACCACTGCCCTGCTCTCTCCCGCACGCCTGTCTCAGAATTGGGCACAGAAGCCTAATACAGCAAAAACCTGCAGCCAGTAGCCCTCTAGGTGCCCATGAACTTGCTCGTGACCCCTTTACACATCTAGCAGGATAGCAGGTGCAGGCTAAAGGAAGCTGTGTTCTAAGAACGCTTGCTTTTTTTTTTTTTTTTTTTTTTTTTGGTAGCGCTGGGGATCAAAAACAGGGCCTTGTGCATGCAAGTATATTTGAGGCTGGGAATGTAACTCAGCTTAGTAGCAGAGTGCTTGCCCAGCATATACAAGGCCCTTAATTCACTCACCAGTAACACACACACACACACACACACACACACACACGCCAGGGAGGGGGTGGTTGAAAGTAGCTTTTTCCCCTCAGTACTGGGAATTAAGCCCAGGAGCACTGACCACTGAGCTACCTCACAACCCTTCTGATGAGATCAGGTCTCACTAAATGGCCCAGGCTGGCCTGGAATTTGCCATCACCTACTTCAGGTTCCTAAGTCCCTGGGATTACAGTTGTGCACCACTGTATCCAGAGAGGGTAATAGTAATCAAAACATGTTGACTCAGCAGGAAACCATGTTTAACAGGTAACATACTCTGAGTGTGACACTCCCTGGAAGATGTCCAGAAGCACCTATGATGGCCAGTCACTGCCCCAGGGAAGGCCGACCCCAAGGACATACTCCTTGAAGGCCTGAGCACAGGATGAGTGACCCATCTCATCAGCCCTCTGCTCTGGGCTGAGGCCCACAGGTATTCAGACAGGGTGGCCTATATCCAGGGAAGTAGAATGCACTGTGGGTGCCCAGGGGTCTCTCAGGCCTCCTGCGGGGCTCATAAGAACCAACTTTGCTGTACCTGCTTAAGTTGAAGAAGGCTGATTCAGGAAGGACAAGGTACCAGCAAGAGCTAGCTGCCAGGGTAGCCATGGCAGCATGATCACCTGGGGGGGAGTGCTGCTGGATGCCCTGATTTTCACAGAACATCAACTTAGCCACAGCCACCTAGGCCACAGAACAGCAGCCCTGCTCTCTGCTACTCTGGCTGGGCAGTTCCCCAAACTGAAGAGTGTTCAACTGCCCTTGGCAAGAGCCACTGTAGGCCCAGAGCCCACCTTAGACTCTACCACAGCTACTTTGATCCTTGTCTGATCTGTGCACCTGCAGTGGCCTCTGCTTGTTTCTGGTGATGTAGATGTGCACATTTTTTCTTCATAGTTTATGTTCTGGAACTAAGATGCCTTCAAACCATCATGAACTAATCCACAACAGTACCCTAAATCCCTTCACTTCCCATCAATGGACAAAATACTAACCTCCACAGTTAGAAAATCTAAACTCAAGTCTTTTGTCTTGGGCCCCAAATCTTGGTTTGTAAAACAAGTCAAGGCAAGCACAAAAATAGACCAGTTCATCGGATCTGAAGCAGTCATCACCCCACAGTGGCATTATGAAGAGCTGCAATTCAGTGGAAAAGCACCTGGTCAATCCTATTGAACTGGGGCGCGACACTGGTTCATAGTCCACCAGGCCTGAAATGTCACACCTGGGAACCTGGGAAAGACCCATGCTGGTCTCCATCTTGCAATACGGGTTTCGGCTTCCAGAGTCGCAGCAGTTTCAGGTATGAGCTACACGAAGGTAGCACTGGGTCTTGAAGGCAAGGAACTCACACTCCAAGTGGAGTGCCACGCAGGAAAGGTGAGATGCACACTCTCAAGAACAAGTCTCTGGGGGCTGGGGATGTGGCTCAAGCGGTAGCGCACTCTCCTGGCATGCGTGCGGCCCGGGTTCGATCCTCAGCGCCACATACAAAGATGTTGTGTCCGCCAAAAACTAAAAAATAAATATTAAAACAAACAAACAAAAAAGAACAAGTCTCTGGGCAAGGTGCCCACGCCTGTACTTCCAGCTAAGTGGAGGGCCGAGGCAGGAGGACCACAAGTTCGAGTTCAACCTGGACAATTTAGCCAGATCCCGTCTCAAAAAGGCTGCGGGCGTAGCTCAGTGGTAGAGCATTTGCCTGGCATGTGCGAGGCCCCGGGTTCCATTCCCAGTTCCTCCAACAAATGTCCCCACACGCACCAAGCCTCAGAAGTACAAGAACACCCTCCTGTACTTCACCCTCCCGACCATCGGGACGGGGCTCGGCCGGGCGCATCTCCGCGGGGAGCTGCCCCTCGCTGCTGAGCGCACCAAAGGGGCGGCGGCCGAGGCCACGCGGGCAGCCCCACAGACACCGGGCGTGGGCCTCGTGTGCGACTTAAGTTCCTAGGAGCCACGGAAAGAGGAAAACGCCACTTCGACAGGCGGCCAAAACCGCGCTACCGTCGACGGGGTTGTGTCCCGCCCGCCCGGCCTCCGGGTCTGGCACGGACCAGCCCTCGCTCGGAGACCGCGGGGATGCTCGAAAGCGGATCCGAACCGCGCCACCGCCCGCTGACCCCGCAGGCGCCACAGGCCTTAAGACCGCCGCCTGGCCCACCCCGCCGAAGCCGCGCCAAGCACTGAAGGTGCCCACCTGTCGGACCCCACGCCTCTGCAGGCGCTGCACGGGCCGCACGCGCGACGGAAATTGCGTCAGCCAGGCTTCCGGCCGGCAGTCCGGGGGCGGTGCCCGTTATGGACACGCGGTCCAGTCAGAATGCAACACGAGGGGTTTCGGAGGCGCAGGCGCAGCTCCGCCCCGACCCGGGACTCCGCCTCACTGCCACGTTCGACGGAGGGACGCGCAGGGTGCGCGCGAATCTCGGCCAATCAGAAGCCACAGAGCCCGGACAGCCGAAAGAAGTAGCCATTCCAGAACCGCGAAAGGTGTGGATGAATATCACCAGTCAGAAGTCGAGGGAGAGAAAGTTCTCCGCTCGGAGCCAATCAAAATCTGGAGAGCGGAGCGAGCGCGAGCGCCGCGGCCAATCCTGGATGAGGGCGAGGAAGGACTCCGTAGCGTTTCCGACTCCGGGGCCGGGCCTGGCATGGGCGACCAATCCGTGCACGGCGAGGGCGGGCCCCGCAGCTCGCCGGCCAATTGGAGGGCCCCTAGGGGCGCGTGCGCGAGGCGGCTGGCGCGCGCGGCGGGTTATTGGGCGCGTCCCCGGACCAGGATTTATAAAGGCGAGGCCAGGACCGGCGCGCGCTCTCGTCGCCTCGGCTGTCCCGGCGGCGCCAACCGAACCGCCCCGCCCGCTCCGACGTCCGACATGCTGAGCCGCGCTCTGCTGTGCCTGGCCCTGGCCGCGGCGGCCCGGGTGGGCGCCGACGCCCCCGAGGAGGAGGACCACGTCCTGGTGCTGAGGAAGAGCAACTTCGCGGAGGCGCTGGCGACGCACAAGTACCTGCTGGTGGAGTTCTGTGAGTGGCCGGCCTGGCGGGCGGGGGGCGCCGCCGCGGTGCGGCCCTGCGCGCGGCGGGCCGGGTCGGCGGGCCTGCTGGCTGTGCTGGCCCGTGGCCGCGCCGAGCTCGGCCTGGCCCGTCGCGGCCCGCCCCTCGCCGGGCGCGCCTGCTGTCAGCTCGCTGCCCCCGGCCGCCCGGAGGGCATCCTTCCTGCCCGGATTGGAAGCGTTCGCGTCCCGGGCTCCTCGAGAGTGGCTGCCCCGCGGAGAGCCCGGGAGCTGTCTTTGTGTCCGACGTCCACATGGCAGGAACCCTCGGTTAGCTGGGGGACGCTGGACGGACAGACCCCACAAGCCGGGCTCCAAGCCGGGTCCGGCTCTGCTAATTACTCAGCTGGACTGACCCAGAAATGCCCAGCTCCTGCCCGCGCCACCCTTAACCTGCCCTGGCTTTCCTGTCGTGTAGCCAGTCCGTCTGAGGCTTTTGCTTGTTAACAAGTATTTGGGCTCCCACTGTCTCTGGGCTGGGAACCTTATGCCACCACATCTGCTACCCTTCCTTGGCAGGTTGTGTTATCCCCACCTATAAAGAACGGTTTTAGAGGAGAATGTGAGAGGTGCGAACCTCGCACAGATGTGTGTCACATACTCGTAAGCATTTTTTGGTTGGTGTAAGGTTGGGCCATCAAACCTTTGACTTGTCCTGGGTTCTTGAAGGGAAATCCTAGGGACACATTGGTCGTGATGGCCTGCAGGTTATAGGAAGTTACCAATCTAGAGGGTGTGTCTTCCTGTGCTGGTGGTGACGGAGCAGAACAGGGATGGTGTTGGTGTGTCGATCGTTGATGGCCTCTGTCCTGAAGTTGCCCAAGAGCAGCAGCTATCAGCTCAGCCTCCTGGGTTAGGAGGCCTTATCTTGGTGTGCAGATAAGGTTTTTATGAAGGGAAGAAGCAGTGGGACGGGATCGAGGGCTGCTTTCCAGTGTCCCACTTTCTTTTCCAGATGCCCCTTGGTGTGGCCACTGCAAAGCACTGGCCCCTGAGTATGCCAAAGCAGCTGGGAAGCTGAAGGCAGAAGGTTCTGAGATCCGACTAGCAAAGGTGGATGCCACTGAAGAATCTGACCTGGCCCAGCAGTATGGCGTCCGAGGATACCCCACAATCAAGTTCTTCAAGAACGGAGACACAGCCTCCCCCAAGGAGTACACAGGTGTGACCGCGGTGCAGGCCTTGGAGGCGACCTAACTGAAAGCTCATCCAGTAGTGTATCTGAGGTGGGGGCCCGTTTTCAGGGGCTCTGGGGGGGACTGTGTTTGCAACTGATCCACACCTGAGGGTCCTGTGAGGAAGTTCTCTCCCTGGAAGACCCTCTCAGGTGGAGCATGCTATGTCTGATGGCCTCCTGGGGGGGCCTGCTGGCAAAGCTTGTCTGGAGATGGACTAGAAAGGGGTGACAGCCACCACACTCAAGCATCCAGGCAGGCCCTCAGCTACTGTCCTGCCACCTCCGGGGCAAATCAACAACTGGTGGCAAAGAAGCGCTTTCTGGTCTCAGATCAGTTCTGCAGAATGTCTGTCAGGCCCATGTGCTGAGCAGCCTGAAGCTGCCCGTCCCAGGGTCAGCAGAAGTACCCTTCAAGCAGTCTTATCCTAATCAGCATCAGCCACTCTGGTTGCCTCACTAGTAGACCCCACTATTTTTTTGGTACCAGACATTGAACCTGGGGTGCTTAACCACTGAGCCCCAGCCCTTTTTATTGTATGTATGTGGTGCTGAGAATCGAGCCCAGTGCCTCACACATGCCAGGAAAGTGCGCTATTCCTCAGCCCCAGCCCCTGGTCCCCACTTTTCAATGTGTGTTTAATCTTGCAATAGGGGGTGCCTTGTCCAAAGTTACCATCGTTCTCCACCAACACTTAGGTTTTGTAGATGAGACACCTGCTCCTAAATCCACTGGTAACTGCCAGCTCAGCTTTTTGTAGGCACTTGGCTGAAGAATCCTTGTCATTCTTGGGTGGAGCAGCACTTTGCCAGGTAGTCACACCCCAGGAAAGGAGGGGAGAGCAGTTTGTTGGCCTCCATCTGGCAGGAGCAGGCCTCTTTCTTATACCTGTGTGGCCTCCTGGCCTCCTGGATGGCATGTGGATACATATTCTTTCTCTAGTTCTTACCAGTCAGGGAAGTGGGTAAGGCTGGCCTTAGAAATAACTGGCCCACCAGGGAGTGTCAGAAAGTCAAGTTGAGCCTGTTTTCAAGGAAGGAGACCTGGCGTGGAGGTTGACATAACTAACCACATCTCAGGACTGGGGATATAGCTCGGTTGGTAGAGTGCTTCTCGCACGCACAAGGTCCTAGATTTGATCCTCAGCCCCCCACACACACACCAAAAAAAAAAAAAAAACGCCATATCTCCACGACTCAGCTTGGTATGAGAGTACTGTGGGGAGAAAGTGTATGTGAGTTTAATGGAAAAAAAAATTTTTTTTAATATTTTTATTTTAGTTATTGGGGATCGTTGAACCCAGAGGCACTTTATCACTAAGCTATATCCCCAGCCCCAACCCACCCACGTCTTGGGGTTTTTTGTTTTTGTTTTTTGCGGGAGGGGGGGACATGGTCTTACCAAGTTGCCTTGGCTGACTTTGAACTTATGGTCCTCCTGCCTCCATCTCCCAAGTTGATGGGATTACAGGTATGTGCTACTGTACCCAGCAGAGTTTAACCAATTTTAATGTCCAAGAAAATTTAGAAAATGCAAGGAATTAGAAAAGGAAATCCTACCTCCCAAGGATGACACTCTTCCCTTCTTTAAGCATAACTGTGTTCTCAGGAAGTGGGTGGCCAGGGTATAGACCTACCCGTGGAGAGAACAGCTTGTTCTAGGGGTCAGTCAGGTGTCCTCAGCCTGCTGGGTGGAGCTCAGGCGAGAGGGTGCCAGGCATGGTAGGGGCACCCTGTCTGACTCTGGAACCTGCCTTTGTTGGGGTGCAGCTGGCAGAGAAGCCGATGACATCGTGAACTGGCTGAAGAAGCGCACGGGCCCTGCTGCCACCACGCTGCTCGATGGTACAGCTGCAGAGTCCTTGGTGGAATCCAGCGAGGTGGCCGTCATTGGCTTCTTTAAGGTAGAGCTTCAGAACTTGTAATCTGCTGTCACTTTTGAAGGAGGGGTCCCCATGGCTTGGACACTGCAGTGTCGGCTTTGCTGCTGTGCCAGGCAGGCTCCTGGGTGTCGGCGTGCAGCACCTCTTGTTTTCCTTCCGTTACAGGATGTCGAGTCAGACTTGGCCAAGCAGTTCTTGCTGGCTGCAGAGGCCATAGATGACATACCATTTGGGATTACGTCCAACAGTGATGTGTTCTCCAAATACCAGCTCAGCAAAGATGGGGTGGTCCTCTTCAAGAAGGTGAGTGGCCCAGGGCAGTGCAGGCGTTGCTCTGCAGGGGGTGCTGTTGCTTTTCTTACTGCTG